TTCGACAATCACACGTGGGTTCTCCGAACCCCAAATGCGGCAATTTTGGCGATTGACAAAGCCATCAAGATGAAAATGTGCTTCATCGCTTAGGATGATTTTGCTTGAAAAATCAGGGTCCATTTGTTGATGCTCAATAATCCATTCAACAAACTCTCTTCTCTCTGCATGGTCATTAAGCTTCAATTGTTGTGTTAATTGAAGTTTGTAAGCATGAAGACACAGATCTTTGGTGAGTATACGCTGTAGAGAGGTTCTTGACATTTGCAATTCTTGTCCACGACGTCGAATTGAGGTTCCTGGATTGTCCGCAACACTCTCACGCACTGCTTCGATATTCACATTTGAACGACTTGTTTTTGGACGACCAGTGTGTTTGGCGTCTCCAACGGATCCAGTCTCCATGAATTTTTCAATTAATCTCTTCACAGTTGACGAAGTTAAAACACTATTCCGGCCATACTTTGTATGAAATTTTCGAACTGCAGCCGCCAAGCTTTCACTATTTTTGAAATATTCTTTAATAATGAAGACACGTTGTTCTATCGTGTAACGCTCCATTTTTCATAACCCTATACTGTTAGCTGTCAAATTGCTTTTTTTCAGGGTTGCCAACACTTCACTGCACAAATGGCGGCAAATTCAAATCTTGCGTTAATTTTGGGACACCCTTTAGTTATACTCATTACGGTTGTTGGGGACACTTTAAATGTAGTTCCTATGCTTAACAATGTATCCTGTGTAGCCATATACCACAAGAATATTAAAATATGGCCATATAAACTCACTAGATGATATCCACCTGTATATGGTTTTGCTAATTTCTTTTTTCATCATTTCTGCTGAATCAATAAACGTTTTCTTTGACATGCGGAAAAATTTAGAGAATTGAAAGTTATCATAGCTACAAAGCCATGGTTCCATCATTAAAAAAAAAATCTGAAAAAACATTTCTCCCATGAATATTATGAAAGGTTTCTTATTTAAACTTTCCATATACAGTTGTAGACGAAAAAGCACCGATTATTAAGTGATAATAAAAATAATCAGAAATTATATACGCGCTTTTCTAAAATAAACAACTTGCAACAGAACCGCGGTTAAAACCAACGCGTTCAAGCGATTCGTGTAACTGACGTCATCAACCCTTGTGTCATCTTGAACCATATTATAACCGCGGTACATAACACAGAAATTTTGGTTATTCGCTTGGATTTGATTTTTGTCTATTTTTTTTTTGACTGGGGTTATCTATCTAGGATATCTATCTGACACTCGCAGGGTTGCCAAGTCTAACAACGATCACGTCCCGTGGTAGAGGGTGCGAAATGAATCTTTTACATTTGCTGGTTTTGATTTTTTTTCGTGAAAATTTACTAGGTATCATGATTATAAGCATGTTTGGTAGATTGTTCGATCCGGAATGGGAAAGATCTCCTATTTATGAAAATATGTTTGGTATCATCTAACCGTTGCAATCAGTGCACAAACACTGTGACATATGATTTATAGCATAACCCGCTGCCCTATCAATACAAATTTAACATACAGGTCGCCTAGCCGTGGGGATGCAGTGGTCGGGATGAATATCACGGCAGCAACTGATGATTTGGGCATGTCTGGTCAGAACGTATGAAGTGAAACTCCCTAACTTCACAAATTTGAAGATTTTGTACAATTTCTTTGAAAATGATAAATGATTTGTCTGATTTGGCAGGGTAATGTCGCAGCCAAATGGCAGTCACTCTTTCTGACACAGTCCGGATCGAAAGATGACGATACTCGTCAAATGTATTGATACTTCTAAATATAGGATCCTATCGAACATCCCTACTGTCAAGATGTATAACCCAAGGTACCGACGGAGCTATTTTGCGGCGTCATGGAAATAATTTAAAATTTTCATTTGCATTTTTTCAAGTGTTGTCCAATGATTTTGGGAAAAATGTCACCAATAGTCTTATAAAACATTGAAGAGTATATTTCAACAGTTGGTGGAACTTACTCCACTGGGACCAGGAGGGTGAAACGGGATATTAATGCACAATCTGGCAACCCTGCCGCACCCTCACAAAATGGCCGTTGACAACCACACAAGTCACCATAATCAAATTCAAGCGGATAACCAAATGGAAATGTTATTTACCATTTTGGATTGGTATTTACCGATCCGTTCAAGCCAGTGTGGTTATCAGTTTGGTTATAAGATCCGTGACGTCATGAATCAGCTATTATATGTCATAGTTATCACCGCAAAATTGTGGTATTTACCCAACTCGGAAGTAGTTTTATATTTCTGGTTATTATTTGACATGTGACAATTTAGAATTTTGCCGGGTATTGGATATTTTTATTGTACTTCAGCTCCATTTTTGGGAAACTTGAAACAGGCTGACTTCAGTTTTAGCATAAGAGAGCACCTTATTATTTATAATTATTACTTTTATTGGGGACACTTTAAATCTTGTTCCTACGCTTAACAAAGTATCCTGTATAGCCATATACCACAAGAATATTAAAATATGGCCGTATAAACTCACTGGATGATGTCCACCTGTATACGGTTTTGTTAATATCTTTTTTTCATCGCTTTTTCATCATTTCTGCTGAATCAATAAATATTTTCTTTGACATGCGGAAAAGTTTAGAGAATTCAAAGTTATCATAGCTACAAAGCCATGGTCCATCAGTAAACATTTTTTTCTGAAAAAAAAACATTCATCCCATTAATATTATGAAAGTTTTCTTTTTTTCAACTTTCCATACCCCGTTGTAGACGAAAAAGCACCGATTATTAAGTGATAATAAAAATAATCAGAAATTATACACGCGCTTTTCATGTTTTGTGACTGGTACCAAGAGTTGCCAGAGCCCACACATGTGTCACTCCTTGAAATGCAATAATCAGTTGTATTCAAATAGCGTCTAATATAAATATAACCAATGAACTGTCAACACTGATGGAACAGGCGTAACGCGAATTCATTACAGCTAGAATGAGAAACGAGAAGGATAGCGCTAGTCAGGGCAAGACATTGGCAAAACATCGTGGTCCATTGTAGTATTTCCATATATGTTCTAAGGATTTTTGGTGAATGTTTGTTTTTAGTGACGTTAAAGATTAGTAGTGATAGTTTGCGACAATTATTATAAACATTTTTATGCCGGACAGCCTTCAAGAGCTGTTGTTTTACGTGATATTTGTTTAAAAATGGTTGAATCTTGCAGTGCGGTGAATTGTTGCAATAGACGCAGAAAAGATGTAAAAATGAATTCTCACAGGTTGGTTTTAATCATCTCATTCATTTTTGTGTAAGAATTACGTATTAATTGGTAATTCGAGAAAATACCTAGATTTTTAGGATACCTACAGAGATCCTAACATGAGGAAGTTGTGGTTACATGCTATAAGAAGAGAAAACTTTACTCCCAGTACAACAATGGTAATTTGTGAAAAGCATTTCACTCCAGAGGATTATGAAGTTAGTGTTCATGGAAATAAGGTACTAAAAAAGGTGGCAGTTCCATCTGTGTTTGATTTTCTAGCCCATCTCAAGAAAGAACCTAGCCATCGAAGGGTTTTGAAAAGAAAACATGAATACATAATTTCTAGAATGAACTATGGTATAACCTATATTGTATTATAATGAAAAACTGTGCATCTACAGTATTGTTAATGCCATTGTGCACAAATATTTTGTATATACATATATACTTTGAAGTTGAGTCATTAATTTTCAGATAATGATTGTAGAAGGAAGATAAACCAAAATATGTGTGTAAAAATTAAAAAAAAAATGTTACCTTGTTTTATAAAGTATCCTCCCGACAAGTATTTCAGTGCGGACCTGTATTTGATCGTGCGATCTTGGAGCACCGGCATGCCCTCCCCTGTGAGGCACGAGGGGTTGGTTGCACTCGATTGGGAAACCGATCCGCATAAATCTGTGATGATGCCGCGGGAGCATTTTGTAAAGACTCCCCCCCCCCCCCCCGTAAATAAGAATCATGTCCACAAGTTCAGCATTTTCGTAAACATGTGCCATTTTTTATTTCGTTTGAGCCACGCAACAAACAAACACCACTATTCACTCACGCGTTACCGACTGACACATTGACCGAATACAAAATTGTAGTAAAAACATCGTGAACAGCGTTTCAAATTCTTTCGCTTTTTTGTTTCCGATGCGATGAACCGATAAGGCGGATTATATCCGTTGTTGCCAAACACAAGCAGATAATATTATTCTTGAGACAGGGCGGTACTCAAACTTGTAAAGGGCTATAACTTTGTTACTTTAATTTTACCACAAAAATGTTAAAGGAAAAAAACATTTCTTTTGATCAGATCTACTCACTGTTAAAATAAATGACTCAACTTCTATATATACAGGGTTATCCAAATTAAGTGTCCACCATTGGTAACTTTGTTATTAGTAAAAATACAAAGTTGTTTAAATTAGCAAACTAGTAGCATTTTTAACGCTGGTAAAAATGAGAAATAAAAAAAAACAATTGAGAGTCGTGATTTTTTTCAGTAAAATAACATTTTTTTAAATGGAAACCCCTGTATATTATATTTTTTTCTGTTAAAGCATCAAATTTTAAACAAAAAAGTTCATAATGACTTTTCCGCTAAAGTCAAAAATAAAGTCAAAATAACGATAAATATTTTTAATTATTTGCAGTATTATAATATTAAGACGGCTATGAAAACAACATGGCGTTCGCGATTTGACAGCATTAAGATAAGCGACAAATTGTTAAACTGGACATACTCGCAACTAGAAGGCTTTGGAAAACAATGATAAAATCAAATAATGTCAAACATTAGTGTAAATACTTGTTTATAAGCTTTATTGTGTCATTAATTTAAAGAAAAATGTTCTCCCATGAAGAAAAGTGTGATATGTTAGAATGCTATTTAGCAGTGGCGGCTCGTGGTAAAAATTTTAAGGTGTTCTGCAATTTTTGTAAAAAAAAACAAAATAAGAAAAAGCTTACCTATTTTTTGTAAATTAAGTCTATCCTACGCTCTTTTCTGCTTGCAAATTTTGTAATCACTTTTTCATTAAAATTGTCTATTTTAGAGATAAACTTTTTCTCAATGGATAGCATGGAGAGAGCTGTTAGACGATCTTCAATCATTGAATTTCTGATAAAGGTCTTGATCCGATTTAGGGTTGAAAAACATCGTTCAGCCTCTGATGTCGTCATGGGAGTTGTTACCACAATTTCTAATAGTTTTTTAGTCTCCTTCAACGTATCTCCTAGATTGTTTGTTATTAAAAATTTTAGAAGAGCTAATGCGCCATTTAATGTCCTGCAATTATTTCTTGAATAAATAACAGACAGTTCGGTTCGTAATCGTTCTTTATCAAGTGTGGGACAAAAGGAACATACGGAAGTAAGTTTATCCTCGGGGAATTTACCGCAATACTCTCCAAAGTAGTCCGAAAAGAAAAGTGATGCAACTACTAAATGCTCTTTAAACTGAAATCGATCTTTTACACAATTTATAATAATATCACACACCTCTAAAGCTGAAATTCGGTGATCAAATTTGCTGTTAGATGGACGTTTGCGTTTATTTTCTGGAGGCTCATCGCTTATTATATCTGATGCTTCACTAATGATGTTATCAATATTATTTCGAACTTGAATCATACTATCAATAGCATGTCTTACTAGAGTGGGTTCGATTTTTCTTTGTTGCAATTGATTAAATAGGATATCTACGTGAGGCATCACATGATGAAAAAAAGTCAGCCAAAAATTGAAGATTGGATCATTTAATGTACGCCGAATAGAGGCGGCTGCACTACAGACTGTGTTGGTGGAGAATTGATCTTCTATTTCATGCATACACTCAATGAGAGAGGTTCTATTTTCATACACAACATTAATGGTGCGTAAATTAAAATTCCATCTGGTTGAAGCGCCGTGGGGGATCCTTCTCTTTACAATCTTGTTCAATATTTCTACTCGTTGAGGTGAATTATTAAAAAATCCAGGAATGTCTCGTAAATTTCCAAAAAATACACGTACTTGCGAATTTGCAGAAGCAGCTTTAGACATAATTAAATTCAACTGATGGGCATAACAGTGTACATAGTGAGCAAAAGGATACTTTTTTTTTATTAATGCTTGGACGCCTGCAGTTTGACCGCTCATCACCGCTGCTCCATCGTAACTTTGTGCAATCAGTTTGTTAGGTGAATTCTGAATTAAAGGATCTATAACAGTTAATATAGTTTTACTAAGGATTTCTGCATCACATCTTTCAGGAATTAAGTAGCTCCAAAACCGTTCAATTGGCTCACCATCGCGAATATATCTAAAAATTAGTACCAATTGATATTTTGCGGCAACATCCGTTGTTTCGTCCGCCATGATCGCAAGAAATGAAGAATTATTAATTTCCTCAATTATTTGTTCACGACAGACTTCAAGCATACACTGTAACAAAGCATTTTTTTGTTACATCCACAAATCCATTCATTTTTTGATTAAATGTCTCTATTAAATTTTCGTGTATAACTTTTTCCTCTACTTACACCAACTCTCTCAATAATAATATCTGGTAATGGTCTACCTTTTGCTTTCAATCCAATCTTTTCTTCATATGAATATTTAAAAAATTACTTCACATTAATTAAATTGAAGACCACTTCCATTGTACACACTTAATAATAATTATTGTCAAAAATACACAAAAAAAACCACAGGCACTGGCACTCTATTATTAATGTTTTTTAATCCAATGTCCAACCCACTGTAAACTATAAAGTCGCGTAAAAACTCGATACTATATTGAATATTGACTATACTATTACAATAACGTTTATGCCGCGCTTTGCTGTACAGACTGCAGCGAATTCTCCAGGTTAAATCACGGCTTTGTTTTCGAGGGTAAGGGGGAAGCGGAGTGCAGCGGGAGCTTGCGGACGGGCTCTCAGAGCTCGGTCATGTGGCCCAGATAAGTAATAATTCAGGGATAGCGTGAGTCGGTAGGTTATTCCACTGATCGACTGTTGACATTCACACGGTTCACGGTTCGCTGGGCGCTGGCATAGATACAGCAAAATATAATATAGTACTCGTATGACAGAGATAGATAGAAAGCATTTACAACAGCTCAGATGTAATATCTGAATTTAGCCATATCATTATTACGAGGACGAATTAACAATATCATATTATTTGCTTTTTGGTAGGTATTAGAAAATATGTTAGTTAGGTAGATTACGTAATTATTTATTTATTTTTTAAATTTATTATCCTCAGAGTTATTTTTTTTGGCAGCTCTGCAGCACTGCAGCACTTATGCACTAGCCGCCACTGCTATTTAGTGTGCAGAAAATCCTCCTTGAGAGCAAGAGAATAATACAGTGAATTATATCCCGCTCGCATTCAACCGTATGAACGATATTTTCTGAGACTTTATCGAAAATTTAGGGGCAACGAAAATGTTTTTGCTAAAACAAGGGCAAAAAAAGAATTCATAATAAGCGAGGCCACGGAAATTGCAGTTATTGGATATTTTGAAGCTTATCGTGAGAATTCAATAGCAGATATTCTCAAGGACTCTAATTTCAGTTATGATACTGTTCAAAGGATTTTAAAAAAATACAAATTTAGTCCGTATAAGTACCGACCAGTTCAAACGCTTTTGGCAGGGGATCCAGAGAGAAGACTTGTTTTTTGCCATTGGTATCTTAGCTTCTGTCGCCAAAATGTAAATAACTTTCGTTACCTTTTATGGACAGATGAATCAAATTTTTCAAATTCTGGAATGTTTAATAGAAAAAACCACCATTATTGGTCAAGAGAAAATCTTTTGTTAGTACATCCAAGAGGCCCACAAGTCCGTTTCAGTTTCAACGTTTGGTGCGGTATAATTGGTTCAAAAATTGTTGGCCCGTTCTTTTATGAGGGAACCCTAACTGGTGAAAGATATGTGGAATTTATGTCAGAAATTCTGACTAATTTCTTAGACGAATTGGATCTTATAAGTAGACATCATCTGCATTTTCAGCAAGATGGCGCACCTGCCCATAACTCCAGAGGTACTTATCATTTTCTAAGTAGTACTTTTAATGATCAGTGGATAGGAACAAATGGCCCAATACAGTGGCCTCCCAGATCACCAGATCTAAACCCACTTGATTACTTCTTGTGGGGTTACTTAAAGAACCAAATTTACAAGCGAAGGTACGATAACCTTGACGCGTTAAAGACTGCAGTTAGGGAAAAGATAACCCAGATAGATGGTAGGACCATACTTAAGACAGTTCGAGCAGTTGAAAAACGTGCCCAAAAATGTATTGAAGAACAAGGTGGTGTTTTCGAGCATTCTTTAAAAAAAATTGTTATTGTATTTTGTAAGATTATAAGTTGATGTTGAAAATAAAGTTTGTCGATACAATTTAATTGTTTCAGATTGGAGGCCATAACTTCAACAATTTGTAACCTAGGAGAAATGTTATTGTAAGCTTTTTTGTTTAAAATTTGATGCTTTAACAGAAAAAAATATAATATACAGGGGTTTCCATTTAAAAAAATGTTATTTTACTGAAAAAAATCAAAATAACGACTCTCAATTGTTTTTTTTTATTTCTCATTTTTACCAGCGTTAAAAATGCTACTAGTTTGCTAATTCAAACAACTTTGTATTTTCACTAATAACAAAGTTACTAATGGTGGACACTTAATTTGGATAACCCTGTATATATCCCGAAAAAAGTGTGCAATATTCTACCAGCGGCTTCTAGAGCTTAAAATAGGAAGAAAAGTTTATATAAACATAGGTCGGCAAACGTCCCCTAAGGGCGCTACGGTTTTTTCAGAATTTTAGACAGTTTTGTTTGGAAGCGTATGTAACAGGGACGGACTCAGGTTATTTTAGTCCCAAAATTTTTGTGCGATTCTATTTTTGAAATTCAATTTTAGAATTTGAAAGTTCAGGGTTTTCTACATAGGTACTCTTATTGAATATCGATAAATCGTGTCATTTTTGGATAAAATCAAACTAAAAAAATTGTCACATGATAGGAAATGTACTGCGAATTTAAATAAATTGTTGAATAATTAGCCATGGCAATGAAAAAACTAATTTAATAATTGGTAAATATTACATAAATACATATTTCTATTGCAACATAGCTAACATTTAGGCAAAAACAAAAGAAATAAATTTTTTCTACTAACAAAATTGAAATTTGTTTAAAAAAGAAGACATACAGTTGGATTTACTTAAAACTAGCTGTACAATAAGTGTTCAAATAAATTCCCATTTTGTTGGATACACAGTCTCGCTCGACGAACTAATGATTGCGTAGCCCGAAAAGTGGAAAACCTTTTTCTCCTTATTTCATTTGCGGCCTGATGGATTCTTTGAAGTAAATCTTCTTGAGTATTTACTTCAGTCGAGTGTACTAGGTCTTTTAATGAACCCCAAAAATAGAAATCCAATGGACTTAGGTCAGGTTAACGTGGCGGCCACGCTATAGGACCTCCTCGGCCTAACCACCTGTCTGAAAAATTGACATTCAACCAATTTCGAACATTGCATCCAAAATGTGCAGGGACGCCATCATGTTGAAAAAAATGCACCATTCCTTGTAAATATTGACTCGTCCGACCATAATATTCTAGGAATAGTGTTTTCATTTGCTAATATCCACTGGCAAAACTCGATTCGTGGTAAAAATCTACCTCCGTTACATGCTGCACCCGTTTAAAATGATAAGGATGTAATCCTTGCATTCTTGCCATTCTTCCTATCTAAAATTATTATTTTTAGGATAACTATCAAATAGGTATTCATAAATTTTTCTTACTATTGATCGAGGTATATCCATAATTTCTGAAACATTCCGTGTGCTTATTTGCAGATTATTTTCAAACATATTTAATGCAATATCCATACGATTATTTCGCAGTGGCCTTCCTGAGCCCTGCATGCGCTGAAAACTTCCATGGTTCGACAAATTCCTGTGAATATCAGTAAACATTCGACGTCCAGATACTATGCGATTAGGAAATCTTCTTTGATATTCTGTTACGGCTGTCAATGAACTACCATTGCAAAACCCGTACACAAAATGTATGTCAGTCAGTTCTCTGTCTGTAAATCTTGGCATTTTAAATCGATTTAATAAAAATTTTGATTTTAATCTAGTAATTTTACACTGCTAACAATGTCAGCTTAACGTCAAAATAAGTCACAACAAATCAATACAACTTTTGTTTGCATTCATGGCTAACTATGTATAATCAACAATTCATTTAAATTTGCAGTACATTTCCTATCATGTGACAATTTTTTTATTTTGATTTTATTCAAAAATGGCACAATTTATCGATATTCAATAAAAGTACCTTGTTTATGTAGAAAACCCTAAATTTTCAAATTCTAAAATTGAATTTCAAAAATAGAATCACACAAAAATTTTGGGGTAAAATAACCTGAGTCCGTCCCTGTTACATACGCTTCCAAACAAAACTGTCTAAAATTGTTAATATTTTTCCATCCAGCATAAAAAACTAAGCTAGAATACCAAATTGTATGTCTTTATCTCAACACGTTTCGGAAAAACCATCTTCAGGGGAGCCCCTTTAAAAGACCGTAGCGCCCTTAGGGGAAGAAACTGGACGTGTTCCCACTACATTTAGTGTTGACAGCTACAGTACTATAAAAATAAATTTAAATGTGCAGGGACTATTTGGAACATTATAAAGATATACTTGTAATGTCACGTATTCCTGTTAAGGGGCAATAGATTAATATTATTAATAAGTTAACCGTTTTTGAGTTATTTGAATTTTATTTTTTTTTCCGATTTCAGACGGTTAAATTTGAAATACAAAAAAACTACATGTTTGATTTTGAGTTTTTTGTTATCGTTGCATAGCGGACATTCCAATAGTTCATAATAAGTAATAAAATGTTGAAAACTTACAAAAGTTTTAAAATTACGCTTTTTAAATGTATGATTTTCTTATTTTTTTACTAACTTATTTGATAAAAAATGCAATTTTCTGTAAAAAATCTCTAGTAATGAAATGTGCAAATTATGTAAATAATATCTCTATCTAACAAGCTTTCATTTGAGGTATAAAAGTTACAACTAACTCAAGTACAAAGACATAAAATTAAAAAAAGATGAGTAAAGTTGTACGAACGATAATTACGTAGGATAAGTAAAAGGCTTTTATTTTAATTACAGTTTTATTTAATTACATTTCCTTCAGTATCTTACAGATTCTGCTCAAATTGTAATCCCCTGTTACGAATACACGCCCGCATTCTCTTACGTAATTCACTTTTGGTAACCCTAGTTGTTAAGCTGCTTTTTAGTTGGTCAGCTGCACTGATTATCTTTGTAATTAATTCATCGGGCGTTGGTATGGGCGAAACATCGTACATCAGGCTTTTCATATGTCCCCACACATAGTAATCCATCGGTGTGAGATCTGGGCTTCTTGCTGGCCAGGCAATCCTGCCAATCCATTGATTTGTAAATTTAGAGTCTAAATACGCCCGTACTAATCCACTGTAGTGTGCGGGACAGCCGTCGTGCTGGAACCGCATATTTTGTCTCGTCGCCAATGGGACGTCTTCCATTAATGGAAACAAGTGATTTTTCAAGAACTCTTCATTCACTTCTCCATTTAAATTGGCGGGCAGAAAATGAGATCCAATTAAATATCCATCAATGATTCCCATCCACACATTGACTGAAAACCGGCTCTGAGACCCCGTCGGTCTTATTTTTCGGGGGTTTAAAGCTTCTTTATCAGCCCAGTAATGAGCATTATGGTAGTTAGTGATCCCGTCCTTATCAAACTTCGATTCATCGGTCCACAGAATTTTCTTAAAATAGTCTGGACCTTCTGTATCTGCATCTAACATGTACCTGCAGAAATCTAATCATCTTGCAGGATCGCCCTCTTCAATCACATGCACAGGCGTGTAGTGATAAGGGTATAATCTTGCAGTATGCCCAGTAAACCATACTTTGTATTGTGATATACCC